GCAGGCAAAGTAGAATAATGTAGTCGTGAAATAGCACTATTTTCCCGTTTTTCCGTTGTACACTCTAGGTATTATCCGCTCTTGATATATATATATATTCAAACCCGTTTTTACCAATCTCTGTTGCTGATAAGGTTCATTACAGACAGGTACACATCTCACACTCACCAGGTAGTTGAGAGAGATATCGTCGACAGCTTGCTGCTTTCTACCAGTTCCTATCTTAAACGGGCCGAGTCCCTTTCGCTCGCCCTTACCCTTCTCCTTCACCTTCCCATCTTTATCCTGCAAAAACGAAAAAAACATAATGTAATACATATCACAAAACATAAATAATAAATAAGAACATGAACATAACACGAGTGTTGAACATGAGATCATCGTAGAAGCGATTTGTGTGACGCGTGCGGTAACATGCGCAAGTAACGCAAACATGGCGGTTCGTTTGATTGGCATGTGATTAGTGGCGGGAGCATTTTGACTCTGCTCGTTTTACGCGCTTATTCGATGATTTATGTGAGATAATGAAAGTGAGCGTATGAATGACAGGTGAAAATGCTATTCACTATGGGATTTCTGTTCTCGGCTTATTGTAGTACAGCTAACAGCATGTGTGCAGAATTAGCTGGGGCTCATCTCCTAGGAAAATATGAACACAGTAAATTACGAAGCCGCAGTTATCATTCCCCCGGGAGCAAGATTGTTAGCGGAACTCCCTCTAGAGCAGTTATGAATGTGTAATGACACTGTGTTTGCCCCCAGGGGAATTAAGTCAATAGTTAAGTGTTTGGTATATGATGGTTCTGTGTTTGACTTGTAAATTCTTTCGTCGTTGGAAAAGCGTCACGCGATACGTGTGAACGCAGACGGACGCGTAGCCGATAGCCTCGTATATATATCGTATCCCCTATCTCGCGAGCGGTTGTATCACATTCCCTATTACTTATTAGCGGGTTAGTTATAGTTATATCACATCCCATCTATCGTTAGTAGGTATATATATAACACTCAACTTCGCAGGCGACTGTATCGCATATGCTATCGCACACGAGCCATTACATTTTATTCGCTATCGTGTATATTATCGGTTACATTACATTCGCTCTGACATGTAATCACATTTACATCAGATACTATATCTCTTAGGCGGTTATATTCCACACCGATGTCATTTATAGGCCATTATATCGCATCCTCTATATAGCTAGCACGCCTGTCAGTCATGTGTCAGCCGAATTATGATGATAGCAGTCTACTGCGAGAAACCGTTTGTCACGCATTATAGCCAGCTTATAGAAAACCTATCATGGCGGCGTCGTTAACAACGCCCGAATGCCACATAGTATCGTTATTGCATCCATCACGCGCGGAGATAGAGACGCATACACATGACGGTCTATTCTTCTTCTTCTTCTTCTTCTTCTTCTTCTTCTTCTTCATCTTCTCGGGTCACTACACTACATTCGACCTAGCCACTGCAGCACACAGGCACCTGGTACGAGGGTTGAAAGCCTTAAAGTCTCCAGGTCTACAGGGCTCTGGTAATAGGAGACATTCCAGAAGATGTTCCATGGTCTGGTCCTCCTCGCAGTCACATTCGATTGGGCCATCTTAAAGTCTTAATCTTGGATCGGGTTATTAAAGACGCGTAAATCAAGTTGCGGTCGCGTCTACAACTACCGGGTGGTCGCCATTACGCTACGAGAACGACACACACTCTATCATTGGCTGGCGTCAAGATTTAACGAGCATTCAACAGCAGCGAGATTGACTAACGACGTGTCCCGTCGCCATATCCACGTTCCCGGATGACCGACCATTCGTGGCTCATTAACGCCCACCACCGCACGAACACACCATGTAACACACCATTACATAGTAACACACCATATAGATAGTAACACACCATGCATATAGTATAACACACCATTAGGCCTACATAGTAACACACCATTACATAGTAAAACACCATTACATAGTAACACACCATTACATAGTAAAACACCATTACATAGTAAAACACCATTTCATAGTAACACACCATTACATAGTAAAACACCATTACATAGTAAAACACCATTACATAGTAACACACCATTACATAGTAACACACCATTACATAGTAACACACCATTACATAGTAACACACCATTACATAGTAACACACCATTACATAGTAACACGCGAACCTTATTGGTATACCGATGATCTAAGTAACGTAAACTACGGGAGAGACGATGCTCCACACCTCTCCTATTCCGCGGGTTTACATCGCATGTACGGCGGATTTAATAAAACAGACTGAGAGAGAATTTGAGATTTCTGATATGTGCCAATGCGCAATATAACGCGTAAACATACGGTATATATGCTAGAATTCATCACAATAGAAATTATACTGTTATTGCCTGTAAGGTATGGTTATAATAAAGACACAAAGAGAGAGAGAGAGAGAGAAAGAGAGAGAGAGAGAGAGTAGCGATATTTAGTAGGGCCCGCG